TCAGTTTTTTATAATCATGAAGAACATACATGTTTAGATAAGTGCATTACCATATTTTTAAAAATTTGAAAATGTAGACATATTCTATATTATTCCAGATGATTTTGTTGAACTCTTACTCAAGATGATCTTGCTCAAGATGGTTAAAAAATAAGATAAAAATATGAATATCCCTACGAAATTTGAAATGAACAATTTTTACACAATATTTTGCAATTAAAATTAGTTGTTTTTATTATTTACAATTAATCTGTACAAGATATATAACTTTTTCTTTTAGTTTGTCACACTTTCTTGCTGTTATTGATAAATATTTTATAATTATATATAATACAAATATATATTAATTTCAATGATTAGACACAGTTATTAGAACAGTTACCTTATTATCTTTTAAAGCGTTCGCACAAGCAAGTCAATAAATTTCTAAAATTGCGATAGTTAATAGAGAGAACGCGTTCTACAAGCATATAAATCTCTAGTCCGTACAGACAAAAGCCCAACAAGAGCCCAAGTAATGTTCGTAGTGAAATATCTATGTAGATGACATTCCGTCCAAAATCCATTATTTATGCAAGAGCAAGGCTGCAGTTAGACGGTGTTTAAAACGACGTTTTGATTTATTTTGCAAAAATGAGTTAAATTCATAAAATCCTGCGAATTAGGTTATATATTATAAATTATGCATTTCAAACTCGATTTATTCCGAACTACTTGACGCGCAAGCATGAGCGTATTCAAGATTTTTTTCGAGGGAAGGAGAGTTTCTGGTTAATATAATTCTGATTATTACATAAATAGCAACTTTTTTGCGCAAACGAATTGCTTTTTGAATATTTTAGAATTTTGAATGTCCTTTTCTCGTTCCTAATTTTAAATATGAAAAATTAGATTTTGTAAATCATAACTTTTTGTGAATCCTTTTTGTTCTTTTTCTGATGAAAGTACAAGCAAAATACAAAAGTATAAACAAAGTTATTAAAAAATATATAATTGTGTGAATGAAGTACTTATAAATAATTTTATCATATATATTTTATTGTATATATTGATTTTTGACTCAAAAATTTTGCAAAGATTGTTTTTATGCTTTTCAACTACTATCAAAATTAGCTCTAACGTAAGTTCCAGAAATTACTTACATGATCGTAACAGGAAGAAGAAAATATTTTATTTAGCAACAATATTTTTTTTACAAAAAAGGTTACTTACTTACTTGGAGTCAAAGATAAAATTGTATTTTTTTATAAGTAAAACTGAAATATTCGCTCCCCCCTTCTGAATACACGTAAGTAATAATTTAATTTTCGAATAACACGCTCTTTTATCTATTTTAGAATTATATATAAATTTTTACGCTTTTAGCAGCAGCGTGATATCCTATCTTTTTTTCTGCACGAGTTCCATTTTCAGACTTTTGACATGTGCAGACTCGTTTGAACAAGGATAATATCTGAATGCTGTGACAAAAGCTCGGCGATAGAAGAAAAGTGCCATTGTCATTATGTCTTATCTTAACAGTCGATCGGATAAATCGGGGTCAACACGTTAATCCTACTCTTCTTAGATCACAGTCTCCGATGTGGCGCGTGATTATTCGGAAACCTCTTATCACACACACACACACACACACACACACACACACACACACACACACACATCACAGATGTAAAGGTATCGGAGATTATGTGTACGAGGGTCTCTTTAAACGATATCTAATGAATGAATGTTCCGTGATCCAATAATTATGTCATGACACCTATATACGTGATTGGGCTTGCGTCACAGTTCGAAATTATTCTAATAATCTGATGTCGACTATTATTTATTTAAACACTCACTTGAACGTTCTTCTTTTTATTTATAAAATTATTTGAATTATATTATTTGTGATTTATGAAATTATTATACTTTTATATATAATAAATTTATGGAATTGTCTCAGTTATATATTCAATTTTAATATTTATCTGAATAATTATTGACATCCTTTCAAATTATGCAAACGACGACGGATACAGATAAAGTTTCGTACGAATAAATCGAACTGGTAAATAAACATCCAGTTCTCGCTCAACTCTATATTCAGATAAATCCGTTTTTCGATAAAGAGCTTATTCTGAATATCGACTATCGGTCTTCTCTTTCTTCTTCGTCGCTGACTCTTCAAATAAAATTAGAGCCATCTTCGTATTAAAAATGCGAGGAATCCTTTCGACCGCGAGGTGTTAATTAGTCTTTCTGAGCTCCCAACACCTGCATTCATTGAGCTCTTGGGCTCGTGAAATAGCACCTCAGTCTTTGCCTTTAACGAGGGTGAAACGCAGCGCTGCTGTTCGGCTTGTTCTGGATATCAAAGAGGTACTCTGGGATCCGACACTAATTAACGCAATAATGGCACGTGGTGAGCTTCCTGGTGTTTTTGCGACGGTAATGACCTGGGCATTTCATTTCTCCATTTGAAAAGGAACTAATGAAGCCATGGAAGAATTTCGAAATAAGTAGAATCAACGCATATTTAAGAAATGTTTCGAAAAATATAAAATTGGGAAATTTCTTTCATTATTGAGTTAATTTCCTATTAAGCTAATTAGTAGTAACTTTATAAAAAAGTCAAGATTAATATAATTAAAAAGGGTGATTATAAACAAAAATCGTTAAAAATTATCGCAACTAAAAAAAGGAGGATTATGAAAATGACATTTGTTCATGTTAAGAAATATATTCTTTTTGCTGATATTTTTGGATTAGTGAATAATTTTTTATCAAATTAAAGAAACATTTTTTTCTCCTTTTCTAGACGCGAAACTAAATTTTTTGAATTATGTCACTTCTGAAGTAAGGATGCGACATGTTCCTTGCATTTTTAATGTTGCTGAATATTCAACAAAGTTTCTCGGAGTTTCTCGGTGCTGGGATATTTAGATATTTATAACACAGAGAATATCGCCGCAGCTTTAAATCGTACATACGTATCAGATGGTGGACAAGGCATAAATCATCCCACGTACATAAAATCAGCCGCTTACCCGAGATAATCGCGAAATTGCAAATGCGAAAAAGCAATGAGAATGATTCTAATGAGGATCTGTTTTAATTAAAAGCGGCGCGATGTAAAAGGAGCTAAAGAAGAAAGAGGTGGTAGTGATGGAGATTTCTGCTGTGCGCGCTTTCGATGATAATTTTGCGGAATTTGCGACGAGTCACCCCGTTGAATTTCGCGCAGAGAGAAACGGCCAGATTTGCTATGACACACCGTAATCCTAAAATTGGTAACGCCGAGGCATCGTCGCCTACAGAATAGAGCTCCCTGCCTCTTGATTTTCCTCGGATGAGATCCGAGCCGAAACATACGACATGTTCTGAGAATCCTGTGCATTAAAATTGCGCGTGATGTCCTGTAAGCTCTTGTAAAAAACGATCCTATGTCAGATAAGGGAAAGGTATTGTATTAAGTGGATCAAGGAATGCATTACCATGTATAATTCTCGTATTAGTTAAACAAAAATAAAGTACGAAAATTGTTTAATCAATTTGATATACTGAAAGAAGGTGAATAAATGCGTCATAAATTTTCCGATTCAAAACTATTCCTCTCGAAGATAAATCCTTATGCGTGAAAAATTTTGTTTCATGTTCTTTATTCTACGACATTTTTTCACACGAGAGATCCTTATGTTTTTGTTGTATACGCATCCTGTGTAATAACGATAATAATAAATATAATAATAAAAATATTTTAGAAGAAATTTTTTAAAATAGAAAAGGATGAATAATTTTATTAAAATTAATTGCGAAATGTTTCAAATTATCATCGCATGCTAATTAAGAAAAGTAGGATTAATACCTTTATTACGTATGACGCAATTAAAGTCAAGTATGTTTTAATTAGATTTAGATGACAAGACAAAGGCGGACAGAATAATCACTTTCTTCCTTCCCTTAATGGCCCCATTAATAAATCTGAGTTGGAAGATAAACGGCGAAGCGCGCAAGCTTAGCTCCAGCAAATTCGGTCGTTTGATGTCGTCCAGCAAGCATCCATATTCGAGTTACGATTTACAAGCTTAATATCGTACCGTAATCAGTCTTATGAAGTGCCAGACGGTATGTGTATATATGTATGTGTGTGTTTGTGTTTGTTTTGTTTGTGTATGTATGCGTGTATATATTCAGATAGCATATCCCGACGGTCATAATAATTGTCCTCGTCTGCGGACATAACGAGAATTATTTCAAAATCAGACTAATGGAACTTGTGTGTATTATAAGGGATTCACGCTAACTCTATTCTAATAACTCCGAAGCTCTTTTAAGTGAAACACAAATATTCTCTTCCATTTCAAAGATTGCTCTGTTAAGAAAGAAAGGATCGAAGAATCGATGAACACTAGTTTAATAAATTAACGCTTTAATAATCCGCTTTGGCATTCGTAGAATGCCAAAACAATGTATTTTAAGACACGTGTATTTTAATAATCATGAAAGCCCTCAAGGATTTGCTAATTGAAATGCCATTCTCCGCGATCAATCTCATGTACAAATCACCTCTTAACGGACGATCCGAAGCACCGTTATATTAATTCATGTTGCAAGTTGCTTCCGCGATATTCTGTTCTAGTTTACACTCAAGTTCATGCAATAATAACACCCAAGTTTGTACTATAAATTGTATGAATTTCAATCACTATCGTATTCAGCATTCGCATTAACTATAGTGTTTGGAATTTCACAACTGGCAAGCTTGCTCATGCTCTTCCGAACGTAATTAGAAATTCTGAGAATTTGTAATTTTTAATTATAATTAGATAATCATTGTCACTAAATAAAATAAGGAAGGGAAAGAAGCAGATTGCTCATGATTTATCGACCTTTAATTTATGTAGTCGATATAGAAAGATACGCTTCGAAGAGTTCGCGGGTGTTGCGTAACTCTCTAAAGCAGTTGGAACGATCGTTTTTTGTTGGAGAGGTTGTTACAGAGTACGTTCGTCTCCCGAAGTTCGCGAACTGCAGGTACGTCCTTCCTGGACTTACCGCTTCGGTAATTCGTGCAAATCGCCTTTTGCCAGAAAGGAAACTGCACTTTACTGCTCATAGCACTTAATAGCCTATGCAACTCCCTAGGAGGGTTAAGAGCGAGGGTTCCAACTCTTTCCTTTCCTCCCGTCCTTTCTCTCACATCCTCTCTCTTTTTATTTGTCATCCACACAAGATGGAACACGGTGCAAAACCGGGTGAAACGGAAGCGACAAATAAGTCTGTCCCGGAGCGCGAATGAAACAGTCGGAACACGCGAACGGGAAATTAGCTTTGTTGTAGGGGACGAACTTTAACTCACTTTATTCGCTATTATTCTCTCTCGCTGTTAGCGCTGCGGCGGATTTTGCGGCGTTTCTCATCGTGATGTGCGCACGACCTTTCCTTTACCTCAGCACGTTTCTTGAATATCGTATGAAAGCACAAATGAATGAAACTAGGTGCGGCACATTTATAATCCGTTATCGGCTTTAAGAATGCGGTAGGCGATCGTAATAATACACTACTGTATCGTAATAACACGCTGCGAGTATCGCGCTTACAGGCGTCCGTCTAACATATCGCAGACTGGTCATTAAATATTATATCGTTACGAGTTTCATTATATTATGCAAAGTATTCCGTCTTCATTAATATCGATCTCCCTTCCTTAGCGGAGTTGGCAAGAGTTGAATAATTTATGAGTTGTAAGCAATTGAAAGATTTAAATTTACAGATATCACACAAATATTGTAGTTTCGCACACATAACGAGATTGTTTTTACGAAACAGTAATTTATAAGTAAAGAGAGCATGGTTTACATGACGCTTTTCTTTATCGGCCACAGACATGCCATTCTGTTAATGGCTTGTAAAAAAGCATCGTGTACATATTTTAAGACGCCGGTAAACTAACTTACTTTTTTGCATCGTCTAGCACGTTAGCAAGCTAAAATATTCCAACCTGATAGCGCCACGGTAGTTTTTACTACCGCAAAAAATATCATGTAAGTTGTATGTAGTTGACTTTTTAGCAATTTTCGTGGACAGATTGTAGGATAGTCGCAAAGGTCGTGTTTGCCAAACTATATCATCATGATGTTTGCTTCCGACATGCAGTAAACTCGCAAAATGGTACCTCCAACAGATATGAGAAATACTTAAAAAAATTAATAAAATAAAAACTATTTTGTCCACAATAATTTATTTGCTCTACTAAAGTTTCTTCATCAATTCGCGATGTGTACTTTTTTTGAAACGATGTATTTTTGACAAATTTTTACGGTATATTACGTTACGAAAAAAAAACCGAATAAAATATGAATATTCTATTTAAAGGTACATAGGAGATATTTAGCATGTATCTATTTAAAAATATTTTTTATTATTCAATGCTGTAAATACAATTTTCTGTTCAGTCACCTTTTTCTGGCTTTTAAACAAACGCGCTCTAATAAAAACAGATTGTGTAAACTATGCCCTTTGAGTGCAATCTCAATAAACAAACAGATTTTGTTGAATAGAATAAATCGAAGTGAACAGCGAGAATGCCTAGATACCCGTTCTATTCATCTGTGCATAACAAACATGTATATTTTGAATTTAAACTTGGAGAGCACAATGCTGTGGGAGCAGTTGGCAACATAAATAAAGCATTTGAAGGGAGATATAACTTAAATAACAGATAACGTGGAATACTATTTTGAGAAATTCCCCGTACTCTGTAGTACTGCCTTTGAAAATAAGGATGATTAGTTTCGTCCATAACAATCTCCGCGAGTATTGGAAATAAAATAATTAAAAAAGCAAAATTGTCCATTTAATTTAGAGATATCTTATTTTCAGAATATCAAGCTAACAATTAAATTAAATTAAAATAAGTATCGAAGAACGTTTAAGGAAAAGAGAATAAAAATTTTCAGAGTCCCCGGGATACAAAAGTATCCCGAAGGATCTTAAGGAATTTACGAACTCAAGAGACGAAAACTTTTGACATTTCCAAAGTCTCTATTTATCCAAAGTGCAGATCGAGGTCAGTATTTGACAGATACGATTTCTGCCGGATCGCATTGTCATCAGACGGGAGAGACGCGATCTTCCGCCCGTTGCTCTCGTCGCGCGACTCTGATTTTATTTACGCGTGTTCAGTTCCCTGCGCATCGGCGCCAGCCAGTTCACAGGCCAGCGGCGCGTGAATGAACGAGCGAAATGATTTGTTGCAGGTGGTGCGAGCGGCCAGCCCGGTTTTGTTGCGCGTGATTGTTCTGGGGGCCTTCTTCATATACTGCACGGTAAGTAGAAGCCTTATATCGCGCGACGCCTCGCGCCTCGCCTCGTCTCGTCTCGTCCCGTCTCAGCCCCCGCATTTTCCCGGAGTGTTTCATATTCATGAGGGTCGTAGCGTCGTCGTCCGATAACAAAGCCTTCTCACGCCCGTACTACCGGGAGTACCGAGCGGCGGTTCACAGAAGCCGTTCTCTCGCCATCGCAGCATCCTGCCGGTTGTTACCGCATCTGTCGCGGCGACTGCGCCCCTATAATGTATGCACGTGCACCCCATGCGCCAATTATGATAACGCATAATTCGCGATATCGCTGCGCGCATTGGTCGCAAACATCGTGTATTCACCAACTATTAATGGCCCTCATGCTTTACTAATTAAAGCAAACGTACCGAATGTATGTCGTCTAGATGAGGAGACACGTATATATCCTTGTACATGTCCTTCGGTCCATGAATTCTCGCACTGGAAATCTCATGATCCATCGGCTTTCTATCCAGACTGTAATTACGACTTCTCTCGCGATCCGCGATAACTTTTGAAATATCCCAGAGTTATGAAGTAGTCATATAATCTGCATTAAATTGAAGATCTTTGCAATTAAGCCGTTAATCAGATTTCATTCGAGAGTTGTCAGAGTGATTGGAAATGGAGGGTCCCAAGTCTCATTGCCAGAAGCGAAGGGATGACACTTGTTATTATTCATCGTTATGCTTATTATACGCGGATTATTATCGGATGATGCATGCTCTCCTACAGCTAGCATGATGGAAGTTCTCCCTTTCTTGTTGTCAAGCGTCATAGATCACGTAGCAGCATAAAATAATTCCAGACATCGTATTCTGGGTTGTTCTGAGTTTTGACCCATAGTGACGGTTGCTGTGACACGTATTCCGCGCACGTTCTTACGTGATATATCGGGTTGATAGCAGAATTTCTATCACATTTCACAAACCTGCTTTATCGAATCCGAAACGGATCTCGACGACGAGAAGTCATTTGTATAAACGTAAACTCTAGGGATCTCCCACAAATGCAGCATCTACGCTCTCGCCTTTCGACGGAACGACCTAGGATATCCGTTTAAGTCAACGCAAGTAGCAATCCACGAAATGCTTAATTAACGATTCATGAGACATTTAATTTAGCTTGATAATTTCCATCACGCCGCGTTGTAAATGATGTGGTTACATCATTAGAATATTTTACGTAAAAATTGAGATGGTCTAGCTGTTATACCGCGCTGAAGAACGCAATCGTTTTATTTCAAAAGTGCAGAAAAACGATTAAATTCGTTCTTGCAACGCTGAAATAAATGAATTTTTTACATTCACCGCTATGTTCGTTTCAGATTTCTTTTCCTTATACAAAAAAGGTTTCTTCGAGCAACCTTTTTTTAATATTTTTAAAAGAATTTTGAAGCAGAAAATAATTGAAATGTTTCTAGAGATTTTCTTCCAACATCATTATACGAAATAAATAATATTACTTCTTTACTTTGAAAAGTGACGTCACTGAAAAAAATGTAATTTTCGAGTTATTATGTGAATGAGTTAGACAAATCCTCAATTATAATTATCCTCAATTATATTGAAAGTAAACTATAACTTAATTTTATAAAAACTTGTCAAAATCGTTACAATAAAAAAAATAGTTTTTAAGGATTATGAAATGAAAATAATATTTGATTATATTAGGAATATATTCTTTTTGCAGAGAGAAAGAGATTGATCAGTAATTTCAGTCAAGTTGAAAAACAATTTTACTCCTTTTCTGGAAAATTTAATCTTTTGAGTTTTGTCACTTTTAAAATAAGAAAACGGTATTGTTTATTTCGTATTATTAATATATAATTGTATATATGTATATATATATATATATATATATATATATTATATAAGTCAGTAAATTCATCAATTCTAACAATCGCATCAAGACAAGAATTGTTTTATGTATACGTTTCACTGTAAAACTATTAAATGATAAACTTTCAACTGCAGTAATTAAACGGAAACTGGCGCAGGCATTCGCTGTTTACGAGAGGTGTTTGTACTGGAAAGTAGTTATGTGACACTCACTTGCACTAAAGTTGTGTACAATATACAACATCTCCAGGAATTGTAGAATTTACTACGAAAGTTTAGCCAAAGTGACAACAAGTATGTTCCCAGTGAGTTCTGTAATCCCGCGTGGTTCGGATCAACAAAAATTAAATCTATAGTTGGCACAGTCTGCCTGGAAAGGACGGAAAGCAGAAATGCAGCAGTGCGAATTCTCTCTCTCTCTCTCTCTCTCTCTCTCTCTCTCTCTCTCTCTCTCTTTCTCTAAAGTATAATAACATTCTTTCCCACGTGATATCTAAACGTGATATAACATACTTAAACGCGCGCACAGATGCTCGCAGACGGATTTGCGCGAGTATCAAGCCATGGAAAAGCGCCACGTGTAAGCGTCGTGCAACGTGACTCTCTCCGACGTTAGAATGGCGACGACGTGATTTTTCTTTCGCTGGAGTAATGGCATGGCCGTGAAGGGGTTAGTATCAAGGTGCGCAGCAGACATTTCGAATGCTCCAAGTTGGTAGCTCGTCACTCGTCGAGATGGAAACGTGCCTACGTACATAATGTTTGCTCTTACGAGGTACGAACTCCCGGATGGCTTCGCTTAAATTCAGAGTACTATTCTTAATGGGACGTCATTTGCCCGCTTATGGAAGCTCTTCCGTTTCTCACTAAACTTCAGTATTATATCTCGCCAAGAGTGAAAGCTACCGGTATAAATTGCACGATACAGCTTGGAAAGTCGGATGGAAACCATCGTCGAATTTTGCGGTGCGTGCGAGCTGTCTGTAATTTCTCATTGTTCCCACTTCCGTCTGTGGCCTCTGATTAAGATAGAATTCTGTATTTTGAATTTGTAATTTTATAATATTTCCGGGAATTTGAGCTTAATTTTCGAACGTGAAAGAAAAAAATTACGACTTACTTTCTTTACGAGAAAGGAATTTATTATATTTTTTATTATGCACGTACCTTTGTTCAGTTTTCATATATAGACATATTTTCAATAGATGCAGGTATACGTAACAAAATATATATATTTATGTAAAACTATCCTCTGTACATTCTGTTATTATTAATATTTATTTTATATTTTAACAATTTTTCTCTGCTATCCTATTTTTCTCTGCGATAATCATTAGTTTGTGAGATTTCTAACATGTCTATGAATTCGTGCTGGAGTCTGGAAGTTTATGCGATGTCAGAGCGTTGTGTTACACAAAAGAAAAATCGCTTCAAAGTGCTCGTTCAGCAAGAATTCTGTTTTCTTTTTTCGCTCTGTTATTCTCCCTATATTTTTCATAGCGGATTTTTCAATATTATTCGAATGTTATTTCTATGAATGTTTTTTTTTTATAATATTGATAACACGGTAAAATATTCTTATAAATATCTCGAAATGACTTTAGTTAGAGTAACAAAAGAAAAAAAAACTTTTTTCATCTTTATTCCTTTTTTATTTGTTTCATCATCTTGGAGAACATAAATAAAAAACTAGCGTTTAAAAATTCGATAAACAAAAGTAAAATAGTCATTTATAAATTGATGTATCGAGGCATACATAAATTAAATGTGTGATAATATTTTAATAAATACAGTTATATTTTGCTTTTCTATCATAATAAATCGCACTCGATGTATCATAATATATCATTTTCGTATTTGCTATGTTAAACATGAATTATTTAGATATTAGTTAATGGGGTGAATTTCGTTATAAATATCCACATCCGATATATCCTCTAGCTAATACATAAATAATATACGCGCATAGACGGCGATTCGATGAGTGTTCTCGTCACAGTTTCAAAGGCGTGTATCTAAAGTGCTTTAAATATTATATTCTAATTACGTAATTACATATGCCGGGAAGCGTCAACATTGTAACGAGGTAATTTATCGAAATAATGTTGTTAAAATTTACATGATTAATAGAAATGGGACGAGTACCCGGTACAGATATATAATATAGATGTATAACACGCATAATTGTTGAAAATTGCTTATGCAGTATCACTTTGCAAAATATGTGTCATTGCTTGTTGCAGACTATAGTTATGTATCCCAGGCCAAACATCATCACGTGCACTGTGCGCGTATGGCTACGAGAAATTGGCTTTTCTCTCACATACGGGGCACTTATGCTCAAAACGTGGCGGTAAGTGTGCTTCACTTCTTGATGACATTACATTTCGCTCGTTTCGTGACCATTTTCCTTATTCGTTCCGTAAACAAGAGCATCGTTCTCCAGTCGCCAGAACTTTTATTGTCACAATGATAATTATATAATAATTATATTTATTCTTTTTATTTGTTATATCATTTATTTATCTTCCCTCCTCATTTCCTTTTTACGATGTGTGTAACGAGTTCAAAACTTTTCTCTTACTCTTTCATAAAGCTGTAATCATCAAGTTTTAATTACATTTTGATTATTTCATGACTTCTTTGGTTGGGCTTCAAAGCGCAAATTTTAAAATAAAGAAAATAACTGAAAACTGTAATTTTTGTAGTCTACTATAATTTTTATAACGTTCATGTGATTTTTGTGTGTGTAAAGATTTATTGGGATTCATACAATATTTATAACTAACTCGTTTGTTACCATTGAAAAAAATAAACGGTGCCGTTGAAGTTAAACGTTACACAAACGCCCATAGAATATTAATAAATCTATTTAGATTTATACAAAATACTGATTAATGGTGTTAACATTAAACTCATAAATTCTCTCATCTAACTGCAAGGGCTCAGTCAGTCTGAAAAAACAAAAAGAAAAGAAACAAAACTAGAATTCAGTCTATCAGATAAAAAAATGGATCCGATGAGATCCGCTCATGTTTTGTTCGCAGAATATCCGTGATCTTCCGAGTGAAATCGGCAAAGGCCGTAAAAATAACAGACGCGAGCCTGCTGAAACGGCTCGGTATCATCGTCCTGACGTTCAGCGTGTTCCTAAGCATAAGGACATTGGTCGCACCGCCCGTCGTGATCGTCGCACGAACTGCTGACGATCTCAAAGCGTATCTCTGCCGAACTGACTGGTGGGACCACAGTTTTACCACTCGTGAGTACCGTGGACAGTATCGCTGTGTGCTGTGCATAGGAAAGAAATATCGATTTGCTTAATCCTTCGCTCAGTGCCTTCGATACCATGGACTTTTGTAATCGTAAGCTGTATCGTAAGCTCCAGTGAAATATGAGCACGTTGCAGGGCTCTATCGTGTATATGTATATATATATATATATATATGTGTGTGTGTGTGTGTGTGTGTGTGTGCGTGTGTGCGTGTGTGTGTGTGTGTGTGTGTGTGTGTGTGTGTGTGTGTGTGTGTGTGTGTGTGCGTGCGTGCGTGTGTGCGTGTGTGTGTGTGTGTGTGTGTGTGTACATATGGTATAGGAAGTAGGCGGCATTGGATTAACTTTGCTTTTATGGAATGATCGATCTCTCGCGTACACATAAGAATGCGATCGAAAGTTAGAGAGTTTCTGATGAATTAAACTCCGAGCTCGCTTTTCACCTCAAGTGCGCCTTTAGCGCTCTCGAAAGCTTATTTACTGAAATATTTAATATAGAAAGTTGCGAGGCGAATTACGCTGGGATGGATAGCGCTCAAAATAAATAAGTCGGGATTCTCGTACCGAATTCTCGTCGAGGAATCTTGTTTAACGGCGGGAAGAAAGAGGAGGGGGAAGGAGGGAGGGGGAGGGGAACGGGGACAAAAATGCGCGAAGTACCTCCGGGACATACCCGCGTAAATGAGGCGTGAAAGTGGGCATCCGTCTCTCAGCGTAGCTCTGGCTTCGCCATATCCATAAGTTCCTGTATTATACGTGGCAGGTAGCATTAGTTCGCATTACCCATCCCTGTTGTCAGTTATGTGTGCCTCTGTCTACTTTGTAAAATGTTTACCGAGTCTCTATCATGACGTACTTCTCTCTCGTCAGGAAAATTGCTCTTGGCGGTGTATCAAATTAATTTACATTAAATTAGTATTTAGCGATCGTATCGTATGCATGCACGCGCAGTTAATATGGCATTATGAAGGATTAAAGCGTATTAGCGACACACAAAGTATAATACGATACACATGTATAATATGTAATGTGGAAAACCGTGTGCACATGTGAAGCCATATTGATTTAGTAACACTGCAGATGGTCAAACGCGATTTTAAATCAAGATGGATAGTGTAGTATGTATCGCGGCTTCGAGGGAAACCTTGTATTATAGTTAACTCGTATTTATCTGTCGTCAGAGAGTAAGAGAGGTATTAGTTTTCCTACGACTTCTCCAAAGAAATGGAATTAATCTATAAATCTTACGCAAACACAACGTATCTCGATCAGTGTTTTAACATAGTTTAAAGAAGGCTCTTAATTCCTTAAATCTCTTGCAATTTTACATTTCATTCAAGAGTTTAACTGAAATGCATAATGTAAAAGTGTCTGCGATTATCTTACACCTGACAATTCTCAGAAATTCTTCAATCGGAGCACTCAAATTATCAAATTATCCGATTCATCCGATTTACAGAGTCGTAACTAAGACGTGAACTCGCATGCGTTTGCTTCGTTTACTTTCGCACACGTATATAAACGGAGAACGGAAATGAAAAAATATTTCGGCCACACATACGCAACGCAAGTAACGCTAGCTACGACTCTGCGGGTCTTTGGGTAAAACATTTAGTTTGCTATTGAGACTAATGTGACTTGGAATTTCACGTGATTTCAGTCGAGGTGATGTTCCTCGTGTGGGGCATCCGGTTGTGCATCGTAGTAAGAAAGACTCCGTCGGAGTTTAATGAGAGTCGATTCATTTCAATGGCGATTTACAACGAATTTCTACTATCAGTCTTCCTCAACGTTTCAATGTAAGTTTGTATTATGATATCTTTTTCTCTCTATTCATTATTCCGAATGATCGATTGCAACTATCCGACAAGTATTTGCAAAGCTCCGTCGCACTTGTAACTATTCGTAACATGAGATGGTGAAAACCGTTTTACTAAACAAAGAATTCTATCAAACGTTATATATTTGAATTTAATCGCGAATTCACTTTAGTGTTATAATGATAGCGGCTTTTTATATTTAAATGTAATTAAATTCCGGAATTTTATATTTCAAGAGTTTAACGGTGGAATGCATAATGTAAGTCAATTTAAAGCGACCCCTATTTTAAATGTAAATACTGTGTCGACGGTTTTACGTGTCCCATCTTAACTGCAATTTAATGACAGGTTCTGACTTGACGAATTTATAATCAATTTTTTTCTAACTGGCTCTTGGTATTACAATTTACTCCAATTTTTAATGCACAAGATTACATGGCGTAAATTTTAAAACTGAAATTTTATCTCTGTTACTTGAGCGCTTTTCCTTTGTTAAATTTTCCATCTAATTTTCTTATTAAGAAAAGAGGAATTTGCATCAAATGCATCTGTCATTAAAATTTGATGCAATCAAGAACGTGTGGTTTCCCAATTTATGAATGCAATTTGAATTTTTGAGTTGGAGAAACAAATAAAAATAACGGAAGATCTGGGACACTAACACACTACTGGCCCGTTCTTACGTCACGGTAGCGCTTCGTGCAGCTAACAGCTCTGAATAATTTCTTTTTCGTTGCTGCAGGTTGTTCCTGCAATCACCGGCCAATCCGGATTTATTGTACATCATATTTTTCTGCCATACCCAGCTTACCGTCACATTGCTGCTTTGCCTGATATTCGGCAGTAAAGTAAGAAATATTATTTATTACAGCTTTACCGTATGACAATTATTACGTTTTACGGCGCGCATTGTTACTTCAGTTGGTCATTTGTCGAGAACTTTACTACAAAATTTTTATAATTTTAAATTCTATATAAATTATTCAAATATTATAGTTAAATATGTATTAATCCGCGAAACAATTTTAAACGCGTTAAATTAATGTATATTTTGTGAATATAAATTTGTAAAAAAACTTTATCTTTGAAATATTAAATATAGGCTGAAGATAGCTCTAAAAGAATTTATTCTCAAAATATTTTGGAGTAAACTTTATTTAAAGTAAAGAAAAAGTAAACAGGATCACATTTTTTAATGTAATTGATCTGTAAATAAATTCTCTTCTTGTTCGAAATTTAGTGAGAAAAGCAAAATAGAAGTTGAGGTATCGTATAAAGCTAAAATTCAATTCAATCAGCACGAATGAGATTAAATCGCGCAATTTCCGCTTCGTTTTCTATTTGCTTCTCTCTTTCTCTCTCCCCCCTCCCCCCCCTCTCTCTCTCTCTCTCTCTGCAAAATTACTGCAAAGTCCTCTTACTAGCTTGAATAGAAATCCCGGTGCCGTGTAAGTTTGGTTGTTACATACGTCGCATTTAACGAAGGCTTACGTGGTTTTCCGCGACGGAGGGAAGGAAGAGACGATTGGTAAACTTTGTGGCGCGACCGGCAAGTTCTTGGGGAAAAGCAGTCGTCCGCAGGGTACTAGTAACCAGACGAACTCGATATCGCTTCAGCAGGGTAATTTCGCCGAAGAAAGCGACTCTGTCACGGTAAGCACCCCGGTAAACCGGTTGGATTCTCCCGTGGAGCGTATCCGAAACTGTACACTTCCTCTTTCCTAAATATATATTCTGATCTAAATCTAGATTCGCGGCAAATTGCGATTGTATTGCTCTAATGCTAACCTAATTTTCGAATTATAAAGCGCCAAAGTTTCAAACATTTAAAGTTTTAAAATAAATCCTAATTTTTCAAGTTCTTTAAAGCTTGAAACTTTAAGATTTTGTAACTTGTAATCTTAGGATATTCTGATCTTAAAATTTTTAAATTTCAAAATATTAGGCTCCTCAAAGTTTAGAAATTTTGGAACTTCAAAATTATGACATTTTAAAATTTGTTATCTGAAATTAAAAAAATGTTTTATGAAATGTTTTATGAAATTAAAAAAAACACTTTAGCATTTTAGATTATATACAATAGATATAAGATAAGAATGGCAAGAGATAGCAACTTCTTTCTAGGAGGAATTTCGCCGTTTGCTCAATCAGTTAGAGATCCTACAGGAGAAGAACATATTATTAGGAAATCAGGAGCTGTCCAGGAAACTGGCAGCCATGCTGGACGCTTCGAATCGAGTCGAGGCTCAAGTATCCACTATTCAAGCCATTTCAACTAGCATCGTTCAGTTGAATGATCTCAATAAATCGACGAAAGAAACTAATCTCGGACAAGCTTGTCAAGAGCAGGCCCAAACAGGTAAAAAATAAACTTTAAATTAACTTTAAAGTAACGTATTGAATTTTTTACAAAAAGTTAGCGGGATTGTGAAATATATTGTAACTGTTTTTCAACGTTAACACAGTCGGAAATAAAATCTCGTCAATAAAAGTTCTGTATAAACTGAAGAGAAATCTTTTATTTATATATATCAGAGCTCGAAACTAGCATTGCTAGCAGTTGGAAATAAAATCAGAGGAATTTATCTGTTTTAAAAATGACATAGATTTACGAATGATCGTAGCTTTGGAGACGGAGGATAAAATTAGAAAAAGTGGAAATTCTGACAAAAGCAGTATATATGGCCCGCATATTTCATTTACATTTAAAGGGAAATTTAATTTGGAAATTAGGAGGCAAGAACTGCGAAATTGTTTCTGATGCATTGAAAGATCAGAAAAACGAAAATGAACAGCATTATAAAATAATCTGCCTCGAGAATGTTGCTGAGTTAAATTAATTTTATTGTAAAAACTGGAAGTCTAAACGAGAGTTTTATTTATTTATTCTCTTCCTTTGTACCCGTTCAGGACGTTCTATTAATTTTTCATTACATTCCGTGAAGCCCTGCGGGCAGATAATTCTACCTTTGTTTAGGAAACGGTTCTCGGAGCGAAAATCGATGTCGCGCATGTATTGAGAAAAATGGGCTTGGAGGAAAGGATGTGCGCGATATGTCGAAGGATAATGAAACGCCAGAGTCGAGGAAAATCGGAAAAGACATCGCCGTGTCAACATCCTCGAAATACCCTATTGAGGACGTCGGCAGGGAAATGTGTCACGGAAAAGACAGCAAAGAATCTGATTCGAAGGACAAATCCAGGAGTAAATCCGGTCACGCTAGGACACACGCCATAGTTATCAACCTCGATGATAAGAGCAGATTTTCCGAGGAAGTTACCGTCTAATGTTATCTTTAAGTTAATAAATAAACGGTTAAATGCAATTTTCTGATATTTCTATAATTAACGATTTTATCGTAAAAGAAACATTATTGACCGTTTTTGTTAAAAATTACGATTGTTAATCACAGATTTTTAAGAAGATTGACATTTTCCGATGACAATTAATTAGCATGGAATTCCATCAGACACAAATTATTATACAATTATTTAAAAAAACTTTATTCCCTTATTAATAATATAATAATTGATTCTATAAAGAAAAGACAAAAATTCTAGTTCGTTTCAAATACAAATTTATACCATGAATAATTTAAAACCGACACTCGAAAGAAATTTTTCTGAATTAATAAGATTGATTAAGCCCTCAATTGTTGAGCGTAATAATAATTCTAATAACAAGTTGGAAATTTTTAATGTCGAAGAATGTCTCAAAGATCATTAGAGTAATTTGTTGAAACGATGATTGATCTGAATGAAAGTTAATTAAGAGATCGTTTAGTTATCATGAATAATCGTTCGCATATACGTTAATGAAAGAGCCACGGCACATATCGATTTTTCATATATTTCGATGTATATCAAGTATCCGTGAAATAATAAAAAAATTGAAACATTAAATTAATCACATCATTTGGCATTTTTAAGCGAGACCGATCGCGTTCTAGTGCGTCATTAATGAACCGTTCATTAACCCTTAGGGAGTAATCCGCCCTTTCTAGCAGCAAATCGATCTCGGGCTACGGGCTTTCCAAGATCAAAATGTGCTTCATCAGCGCGGATCACAAGATAGCCTGCACCTGTAATTATATATTAATGTAAAAGCAAGTTAAAGGATAAGGCTCATTAACCCTTTCCAGCTCTCCAATGCCGCATGGTATTATTAAAATTATATCGTTTTAATTAAGTTCCTAAGAATGTATTAAATATACATGCATAAAATATGAAATATGAAATATATATATATATTACGTTATGTAATTATAATAATTATGTAGTGTAAAATAATATGAAATGTGCATTACACCATGTTCCATGATGATACATTATATTGTATTATATTTCTGTTAGCGATACTATATTGTATTATATTACAATCAGAGATTAATTAAAAAAAGAATAAATGTAAACATAAATTTATTTAGGGAAACAAATTTCCAATATAACAATGGGCTTGAAAGGGTTAAAGGAAATTTTTATGGTGTTTTTTTGCTAACAACTTTATATATAATATGTGCAGATATTGGTAATGATTCGCTCAATAAATTTGCAAAAATTCTAATAGTTATATATTTGAAACTCTCAATCTGTGAAAATGCTTGAACTATCTAATTCGCATAATTAATATTCTTAAACGCTCAAGTTGATCGAACTTAAATGAATCGTACTTCTTAAATCATTAAGAAACACTACTTTTACTTCGTAGAATATTTTAATTTTGGAATTTTAATTTATCATTTTTTATTGAATATCATATTATATTTACTATTTATTTTTGATAAATCAAAATTTCGTATTAAATTTCTCCTAAGTATCCAATTTGTTACTGTCCGATAATAATTCAAATAAACAGTGATACAGAAATAATTCATGTCCATATAACATTGTTCGCTGTGACGTGGATGTTACTTTAATTACCACCGTTAACCGTATAACTTATTGTATACGTACAGTTTAAGTCAACGCGTTATATTGTAAATAATGAAATGCATAATTAATCGATTAATTAATAAAGACGAGATGAATGAAGTTTGAAAAACAATTTTGCATTTTGCTAAATAACAATCTTGAATGTTTTAAATGTAATCAACTAATTAATTTTTTCTTAAGATTTGAGTTAAAAAGGTAAGTAATGTTGTTCTACAATTGTTAAGATCTCATACCTATTTACGAAAAAAAAGTTTATTTGTAGAAAATAATATAATTAAGACAAGTATTTATTTTTATGGAAACCGAACTCTCTCTCTCTCTCTCTCTCTCTTTCTCTCTCTCTCTCTCTCTCTCTCTCTCTTCATTATCTCAACGATATTTGTGGGAAAATAATTTTTTAATCCACTCAAAGCTACTCCAAAATCCAGCTTATTAACAATAAGCTAACATCTCGTTATGAGAAATTCTCAGGATTAGAATTCAGGTTAATTCTCTACAGCTCGTCTTTTAACAAAAAGACAATAGCAATTAAATGTGTTCTCGACTCGTTAGTTAAATTAAGCGTCAGTTATAGAAAGAGTCGGATAGTAAAAATTTTCCGTCTCAATCAGACAATTTTATGCAAAAGATGTAGGTTAAGGGATCCAAGACAAATCTGCCTGTCTTTCACCTAATGAAATTTGCAATGGAAGGTTTCTTCGAGTATATTAGATTATGAGAAGCAGCGTCTTCGCACTTCATACATACTAATACGACATATATTCGAGATGCTTGACAATCAGATTCTCAACCACTATTTTCTCCTTTGTTCCGTAAGCTCGCCAATTAGATACTTCCAATAAAGGATTCTCGTACCTTAACAGCTTGATCGTTTGCCAGCGCGGAAGAAGGAAGAGGAAGTAGCAAGAAAAAACTTTGTGAGAAGAGATGTGAGGGGAAAGAGAAAGAAAGTGTTTCCTTCGTTACTTCCGGCGAAGTTCTATTGACTTCGCTATAGCGGGAGGAGGTTGGCTCCTCTCGCGTTGCCATCGACTGTATTTTACGAATTGCGTCCGTACAATGAATGTGCCAATCCTGTCCCAATTGCCCCCGATAAAAAAGAAGCCGTAGATACGTGCCCTGAACGATATGTTGGGATCACGACAGAGACTACGACGATGAAAGTCCGCTGTAGTTCCGTATTGATTTTCAGGTAAGAATACGCGGCTATCGTTCGCTCGTTGAATTATCGAGTGCCCGATGCGGAAGAAAGGCCTCTCGAGGTTTGCTTCTGCTTTCTCTCGAATTGATTCGGTCAGTCGAAATTAGTCATTTGGTTAGCCTTTTGCTACATGAAACGGAAGCATAGACGAATGTACCGCTTAAAACAGTACAGAAAGGTGGATTGGAACGTAAAGCTGGTGTAAGAAATAAGATGTGCTCGTAGGCCTGTTCTTTTTGAACTTCTTACATTCATCTTTTCTCTTTTTCTCTCCATATTACGAGATTTATACTTATACAATGTTTATTTAAAATTTTTATTATAACATGTAGTTTTTCTGAAAACCAAGATTGGATAGTGCTTACTTAAAAAATTAAAAGCTCAGTTTTTAAAGTTAAAAAGATAAATAATTTTAACTTAATTTGATTATATTTTAGAATCGTACATTTTATTAGTAATTATTAACTTTTAATTGAACTTTCTTAAAGTTAATTATTTCGACTCGTTTTCAACAATCTTTGAGATAAAATGTCCGATAAATTTCGAAGTGGCTTTATTATTTAAATTTAATAAATATATGCAAAAATATTTATATAGAATATGCTTCTAAATAAAGGATATATTTATTATTTCCGTCATTTGTAAGTCTGAAATTTTGAAATCATGAAATGAAACAATTTCACTTTTAACTTTTTAATTACTTTTTTATTAACTTAACTTTTAATTCAATTAATTTTATTATGGCACAACTTGTATCTCAACTAACAAGTTAAATTTTTAAGGCTGTTAACTTAGTTTTAAAAAAAAGTTAACCCAACCCTGAAAACATATAAAGGAGTACGTTCATCGAAATCTAATAAACAATTGGAATGAGTTAAAAGAACGTATTATAGAAGCAATTTCTTCTATTACTTCCGAAATGATTTATAATATTGGAACAAATTTAATTCGACGGGCATATAGTCTTTATGTAGAATTAGGAAAAGGATATTTTGAACACATATTATTATAAATTTTAAATAAATGTTGTTATATAAGTTGTTAAATTTTATATGATGTATAAATGCAATTTATGAATGGTACTATTTATCAACAAAAATTTCATGTTAATAATGTTAATATCAACGTAATTTTTCAAGTATTGCCAAATTTTATAACATTTTTCTTATACACATGCATATTAAAAAATAACTCGATCAAATAATACTATCTTTATTGTACAAATTAACAAATAGAACCCAAGTAGTACTATTGAGTTGTCCAGAAAGTTCGTGCCGACTAACTTATATAATTTAATAAATGTATACTAAAATTTAAATCTTCTGCGTTTCAATTTTCCTTCAAAATCGGCACGAACTTTCCGGATAATCCAATATTTTTATTATTTACTTAACTCTAATGATATGTATTATTTGTATAAAAGCTTTTTAAACGTAACGAATAACAAAAACTTTTTGTTATAAAAAGTAAAATTTGATGAATTTATCAAAAAATAAATTTTCCATAAACATTGTAATTAACTTGTTCCTTTATATTAAATCTCATACCAAATTAAATAATAAATAATTAACTTTAATAACTCTAATGATATGTATCATTTGTATAAAAGATTTCCACCATGGTCGAAGACTTGGTTTCGAACTTGACAAGCGGAACACGCCGTGCAATCATCAACATGAGTGCCATGTACAATTCCTCAGGGCTGTGTGACTCCAGCGATACGAGTTTTTCTAACAGGTTGCCGATTAGAATGATGCAGAAAGAGACGTTATCTCTATTCAGTCCCAACAATGTTACTTTCTTGTAGACATTTGAATCAATGCGCGCGTTTGTCTTATGCTAATTTCTTTTAATACAATGTTAAACATTCGTTCTTATCAAATGCAAAATTGATAGATAAAATTCAAAATGTTAGTATTATACGAAATCAACTCATAGAAGATTTACATATAAAAATTGAAAAGTGATTGAATCAAATAAATTTAATCAGCAAATTTAATTTAATATATTGATTTCGGATATCTTAAGTCTTATCTTTTAAATTTTATTGTCTCTAATGAATTTAATTTAACGTATAGAATCATAAATTGAATTTTGTATGACTAAAGATATTTAATATAGATTAATTTGAATAAAAATTTAATAAAAGAAGCGA